GGCCATCTGGGGAGTGAACCAGCAGACGGAAGACCTCTTTCTTTCTGCCTCTGCCTCTCTGTAAGTCTGCCTTTCAAATAAATAAATCTTTTTTTAAAAAAATAAAAAAGTTATCTTCTTTAACCTTAAAGAGCCAGCACTGTGGTGCAGCAGCTTACGCGGCTACTTGCCACGCCGGCATCCCACATGGGCGCAAGTTTGAGTCCCGGCTGTTCCACTTCCAATCCAGCTCCCTGCTAATGTGGCTGGGAAAGCAGCTGAGGATGGCTCAAGTGCTTGGTCCCCCACACCTGCATGGGAGACCCAGATGAAACTCCTGGCTCCTAGCTTCAGCCCTGCCCAGTCCTGGTTGCTGTGGCCATTTGGGAAGTAGATGGAAGGTCTGCCTCTCTCTAACTGCCTTTCAAATAAATAAATAAATCTTAAAAAAAAAAAAAGAGTGTGCTATCCAGCATGAGTGTATATCCCTTCTGAATATAAATGTATTAAGTCTCATAAAATAAGAATCTGGCAAAAATGTTAGCAGTTGAACATAGGCATTGAGCATGAGTGTTCACATTTGAAATTCTTTCAATTTTGCTGTATGTCTGAAAATTTTCCATAATGAAATACTGGGGAAAAAATCAGTCTGAGAGACAAATGTAATAAGTGGTCCTTCAACCACATTTAAAATTCCAGTTCACTTACCATGAGAATCGTCTTGGACTAGGAACAGGACTTGGTGGCAACCCGCTGCTACTCACAAACATCTGTAAGGATGGTGAAAAGCATTGCTAGAAAAAAAAATTAAAATAGTTCGAATGCTCCTAGTTTTCTTTCTTTGGCGTTTAAAATTCCTATTATTATTTTAATCCTACATATTTATGGGTCCCAGTTTTCAAAAGGTTCTTTTCAAAATGACAGAAACAACATCATTAGAATGGCTTGGGTGTCTTTATTTTCAAATTACTGTCACAGATTTTCATTGATTTTTTCCCCATCAAGTCACTGATATCTTAAAAGTGAAGGTATATATGTCTAGTTTGTGTTCTAGAGAGTAAATCGCTCAGTACGAAGAGAGTCAGTATCCTGTCTACGACCCTACCTTTCCAAATCCTCGGGTAGGTGAAGGTGCTGGAGAGACTGGAGTGAAGTCAATTCTCTTCGGAGAATACAATTTCTCTTGCTTGTCAAAATCACTATCACTCTGCAAACATAAAGTGTTATCGCCTCATAACAATTCAGCACATTGCAGCTCTTATTTTTAGAGCTACACATTTTTAGAATAGTTATATACAGATTTTAATATTCTGCTGGAAAATCAGAGATTGGAACTCAGTGTCACTTCGGAAGCAGAAGGGACAGAATTGTAGACAGCAATTAAGAAAGCTGGTCAACAACATTAAGGTTTCTAGAAAATACGAAACAAGCAGACATGGGAAAACTTTACCAGGCTCAGGCTCTCATCCCACGACTGGCTTATCTGCATTGCCGCTTGTACTTCCCTGAAACAAACAAAATGAATGGCCATCAGTGTTTACAAATAAGACATACATTAGGCTAGGCCTTGCTCCTTCGAAGCACTAACCTTTCGTGTGCAGTTTCTCTGTTCATAATACCCAGGCCTTCCTCCTGAAAAGACAAATGTATGTGCTAAAAACATATTTTTCATCCACACAGTTCTCTGGTTCAAATGAAATTTAAAAACTTTTCTACCTCATCTGATATAACCACAGTAAAGCAGAACTAACAGTCTAAGATGGTCACCCATGCCATATCTACATTTTATCTGTACACACACAAGACTTTTAATCTGTCTCTAACTAGAGCTGCAACCTGACGCATTTTTACTATCTAACTCTTCAAAATAAAAATTTTAAATTTAAAAAAATTTCAGATCTGAGCTAGTAAGTAAAATTTACCCTTTTGATTTGATGCAGTCTGCTATTAGGAATACGATTAGGTGAGGATGACAGCAACTGGAAAGAAAAAGTAAACATTTACTATTTTCTGAATCACAAAGCATCAGTCTGCTGTCAGTACTGGTGCACAACCTCTTCCTAGATAATTTTTCATAGTCTTCTTCAAAATCGAGCTCTTTAAGTCCCCAAACGTTAATGCACTTACGGCAGTATGGCAGTACATTCAGTCTTTAGAAAGTATACCAGGTGTCCAACCTCAAAGCACCATCTGTCATCAGGCAAACTCTGACTCTAGCACCTTCCCCAAATGAATGCAGAGCTGGGTAAATTTAGGGGAAAAAAAAGACTCTGGGTCTTAGACATACCCACTACCCCACTTATCTAAAATTAGAAACTATAAGGAAGGGAACAACAAAAAAATCAACATTATTAATTTTTGATTACCAGTGCACCAACAAAGAAGATAGGCTAATAAGCCCACTATATTTTTTGTATGATTAATGTTGGCTGAAAACACTTCAAAACTGCAGTAAGATTTTGTTTACATGATCTAAATCAACTCCGAAATTTGATCACTAATGTTATTACCACAAATCTTAATAAATCAATGTGGAAAGGCAAGATTTATCTTTAAAATTACCATTTTCATTTAGATCATTTTTTTTTTATTTTTATTTTTTTTAATTTTTGATAGGCAGAGTGGACAGTGAGAGAGAGAGACAGAGAGAGAAAGGTCTTCCTTTTGCCGTTGGTTCACCCTCCAATGGCCGCCGCTGCAGCCGGCGCACCGCGCTGATCCGATGGCAGGAGCCAGGATCCAGGTGCTTTTTCCTGGTCTCCCATGGGGTGCAGGGCCCAAGCACCTGGGCCATCCTCCACTGCACTCCCTGGCCATAGCAGAGAGCTGGCCTGGAAGAGGGGCAACCGGGACAGAATCCGGTGCCCCGACCGGGACTAGAACCCGGTGTGCCGGCGCCGCAAGGTGGAGGATTAGCCTATTGAGCCACGGCGCCGGCTTCATTTAGATCATTTTTTAACAATACAAAGCAGAAATGTTTTAGGGGCCAATTATGCGCCCTCAAAATTATCACAATTAGATCACAAAATGTAGATACAATTTACATCAATACATCTTACAGGGTTCTAATAGCCATAATGTTAAGAACTATTATGTGTTCCCAAAATATTACAATTGAACTTGTAACACTATATAATCAAATTAGCCAAAAGAATTACCCTGTTAAAAGTCCCTAAGCTATTAACATTTTTTTGAATGCTAATGTAGTAAGCAGGATCACATGGTGATAAATGACTTGAAGTTTTTAAGCAAAAGCTAATTCAGGAGAAAATTTTAAAATGTTATCCACTAAAATATGATTTTACCTCAAAAGATCTCCTTTTATTACCTACCCCTTACTGTTGATTTTCTTCTAGGTTTTGAAAAGGGAAAAACTTTATTACCAGCAAATCCTTTTTTTAAGTAGTTTGTTTTTTTGTTTTTCCATTTTGAAAGTGACACATTTGTTGGTGCGATCTTAGAAAGGCCATTTGAACAACGCTTAGCTCCCAGGCCAGCCAGGAAGGCTCTCTTCCAGAATTATGTGGAAGAGAGCGAGGAAGTGTCAGTCAGAGAACAGAAGAAACCATCAGTAGTGAAATCACCAGGAGAACCAAGGTACTGATGGCCAAAGAGTGACTGTGGACAAGGTCAGAGATTCAGATGCTTCATCTACATAACACACAAAAGATCAAGTTTAGACAAAATTGGGAAGTAGACCAGAGAGAGGTAATGTATTGGTTGGGGAGAAAAAAAAGAACACACAGGAGGTGCTGGTAAAAGGTCAAATAAAGCAAAGACTCCAAGTGGGCTAAGGAATGAGACCCCACCATTGACAATTAAGTAAGTGGGCACTGGTGTCTTCTGCAAGAATAGTGTTTTACTAAAGTCGAGGTAGAAGTTGCAAGATTACAGACTGACAAGAAATCAGGAGACAAGGAATTAAAGGCAGTTTTGCAAGTTTCCAGGGGGAAAGGGAAAGGAAAGGGGATGTCTAGGAAAAAGAGAACAGTATGTCCTCCCCACACTGGATGTGTGAGTTGGGAGCATGTGTGAGGAAAAGAGCCACTGGGGCAGGGAGGGAAGACGCCAGCTGAGCACCATGACAGGCATCGGAACAGGCACGGACCATTAGGGAGAAACACCGTGGATGTGAAGGTGAAGACATTTTTAGGGGAAAGCTAATGTGCATGCAAGACAGGGCTCTGTCTTCTCTGTGCAGTGAGAAGGGGCATCTGCTCCAAGTGGAAGCTGTCTGAGTGTAACAACAAAAGATGTCTGGAGAACAGGATGGGGCCAGTGGCAAAGTGAACCCACCATGACCCCTAGGAATTCATCTTCTTCCCTTCTGAACTACTTATCCTCTCGATTTCTCTACTCGTCAAGGCTACCACCACCCCCTGGTTACCAAGAAACACAATTTCAGTCGAAATTGTTCTCCCTGCCCTTCTATCTAATCAGTAGGCACACTATGAAGCTCCTACTTATACCCATCCATTTGCCAACAACTCACTCCTTCTAGGTTACCATGGAACATCGATAAGCACATTAACAGAGTGTACCATGATATAATGTATACAGTGTCATTATTATGAAGACAATTGTGGTGGCCTATCTGAAGGTGATACAAGGATTCAACTGGGTTTGGGAGGACTAGAAAGGAGCAGGAGAATGGATCCTTATGCTTAAGGATCAACAAAGAAACATGAAAAACTTCAGAAAAGTCAGTATTTTAGTGCAGCCAGAGCAAAGAGCATTTGTCAGGGAGTAGGGAGAGATGAGCCTAGACCGACATTGATAGGAATCTTCCCAACTTGCCAAAAAAGGTAAGTGAAGTGTAGAGAAGCAAATTCAGGTTTCCCTTCTTCGTTATGCTGTTATCAAGAGCACAGTTGTGTAACACTTATACACGTTTTTCATATATCCAACAAAAATAAGTAGTGATATTTTCCGGTATCCTCAGGGAAGGAGGTGAAGCAAATCCAACCTCCAGATAGCTAACATTTCCCCCTTTAGGTATTTTTAGCCACCTCAGCTGGAAATCTTTCTCCAACATGTTACTTTTTTCCCCCTTCTTAAACAGATTATAGCAAACAGAATGACACCGGAAGTGCGCTATTCTAATCCCAGTTCTGCCACTTACTTATTGCAGGATTCAGAGCAAGTCACTGAAAACGTCTGAGTCTTGGCTGCTGCTGCTTTTAAATTGGAAAAAAAAAAAAAAAAA